GGCACCGCCGGACACACCGTCCCCGCACTGACCCCCGGGCTTGTGCAACACCCCGTTGGGGACAGAACCATCGTGTCCCCCGGGATCGGGTGTCCCGGCTGGTGACGTCGGCACAACCCTTCCCCCACGTGCCCGCCCGGGCAGGGGGGATGCCAGGGATGCCAGGACACTGGCGGCGGCGCTGGCGGTGCTGCAGGGCTGGGCGAAACGCCGGTCCCGGGACACCAGTCCGCTGGCCGAGAGGATGGGCCGGGCCAGGACACTGGCCAGCAAGCCATCCGGCTGCGGAGATACACATCAGGGCCACCTCATCAGGAGATTCCCCCCAGCCCCATCGCCCCACCCCGCTCACCGCTGTTGCCGAGTCATCAGAGAGGAGGGAGGTGCCCAGTGGCCCCTCAGCCAGGATGCGCTGGGCAGGTGGCGCGGCTGCCGCGTCCTGCTGCACCTTCTCCTTCAGCTGGCTGAGGAAGAGCTCGCTTGGCGGCGGCGGCTGCCAGCGCGGGTTGGTGATGGCAAAGTGCATCAGCGAGAGCTCTGTCTTCCCATTCTCTGCTTGTTGGTACACAGAGGCCTCCGTCTGCCCGGCCGACAGCCACTGTGGGGCAGGGGCATGAGCAGGGCTGCTGCATCGGGGCCCCTCTACTCCTGGGACCCCCACCACCCCAAGATTCCCACCTCGGGACCACTGCCCCCAACCCCACCTGGGGATTGCCATGGTTGCGGACATCGAGCTGGGCGAAGGAGCAGATGTCACCCACCCCCACCACCTCCACCGTGAAGTTGCGGAAGAAGTCTATGATGTCCAGGGCACGGGCAGGCAGGGCGAAGATGAGGATGAAGGGGGTGAGGATGGGGCTCAGCAGCTCCTCCAGGATGAAGACCTGCAGGTAACGGGGGCATCAGGAGGAGGCCAGGAGGGCTGGGCTGCCCATCCCTGCTTGCACTCACCGCCTTGTACTGGAAGAGCTGTGCCATCTCGCTGCGTGTCTCTGACCGGCTGGCGTTGCCCTGCCAGTGGTCGGGCATGTAGTGGACGTGGGCCAGGACGCGCTGCAGCAGCTGCTCCGGGCACCACACCGTGTGCTCGTCGGGGATGAAGGACCTGCGGGCGGGGGGGCAGGCGTCCCACCTCCCGCTTGACCACCCCACCACCCACCGTGCCCACCAACGGCCCT